ACAAGACGATACTAACTTAACTTAACTAACGTTAACGTTAAACGTTAACTAGTATATATATATTATTGTTATTAATAATAGGAGGAAGACGACACCACAGTATATATATATATATATATATATATATATATATATATACAGTATGGAAAAAATAGGTTAAGCAATATGACCATGATGCCACATCTTGTCATACTCTATCTGACCACCATGCGTAACAATGTAGTTTTTCAATGCAAAAGGCCCAATCATAAGGATGTCATGTACAAAGCACACCATTCCTCCTTATAGGCTTTCCATACTTCAAGGACGACAGTTTCCTAGCACTCGTTTCAACAGTCCAATTGCACAGAAGTCCCTAAGCACTGCATATGGCAGCTTACTGGTATTTCTTCGTATGGAATACACACTTCATTCTCTTGCTGCTTGAGGTATGCAATCGTTAAGCAGATATGTCAAGATACATTCCCTACTTTCTATGACTGTTCGGTTACATGTATTTTCTACTTCATGCACAGTCATAGCTACTGGATCATTAATAATTTATTTTTCTTTAAAAAAGTGCAATGTACACAAGTAATTATTTTTCCTTTTATTTCAGTTGGTAGTATTAAAATACTATGGAACTGTCATGATGTAAATATTGTTTACTGTTCTTTGTTAATGTAATCAAAACAAAACTGAAACCTAATACTAACACATTTTCTAGATACTATTATTATTATTATTCATTTCATTGTACACCCTACAAATAATGTGGATGTTATCAGTTCTACAAAAGTGTTGAAGTTTTCTCTAGGTTTTGTTCAAATATCCTAATAATTTCAAACCTGTTTTTACTTTCAATGTATTTAAGTTTGATTTACAGTTTTTCAAGAAAGAAATAATTCCAAATGTTGGTTAGTTTTATAAAAGAAAATAAAGGAAAAATGTGAAATTAAAAGCAGTAATTCAGACAAGGGGAAAAACTTACAACAAAGCATATATTTATTTATTCATTCACACTTTACATATTTGCCGAGCATGACTGGTAATTATGTCACTCAGTGATCAAAAATTAACAACCAAGATGTTCCCTATGATAAGTTTAAACAAAAAAAAAAGACAAAAAAATTCAACTGTGGACTAAAATTATAAATATATCACTTAATTACTGCTACAGATCAATGAACATTGTTTTGTCAAACAATCTAGACTATGGCAAGACAAACACACCTGCTCTAACCAAAGCTAATACTTGCTGTTATGTAATACAATAGAATTGTATGAGACATAGTTTAAATATTGATAACTTGTATGCTTAAAATAATTTAAAACCTTGTTCTAATTTGAATATGTATGATTTTTCAAAGAAATGAGGGATGTACAAGTGATTATTAAATTAAAAAAAAAACATCTCAAATGTTTTACCTCTCATTATGTATATATTCCTTATTCAATAGACTTTTTCAGAGTTCGAATGTACAGTACCAACTCTCACACCAACCCTTTTGTGAGAAATTTACTTATTATTTCATTCTACTTATCATTAAATGAGCCCCTGTAGTAAACTCTTCCTCCTTCAGACCAGTCAAGTCTTGAGGAAGTGACCTGCCCCTAACAGTAGTATTGGAAGTGTATAGGTTATATGTATTTATATAATCTACAAAAAGAAAAAGATTTGGTCCATAAGCTGCCCATTCATCGGTAATATATCCTCAGTAAAATGACAAATTATTTTTTTTCACGTTATTTGTAAGTTTGGTATGAACATTGTGCACAAAGGAATGGTACTTTACTACAGCAATTGCTCACCAACATATCTTGCAGGAAATGGTACTTTACTGCAGCAAATGCTCACCAACATATCTTGCAGGAAATGGTACTTTACTACAGCAAATGCTCACCAACATATCTTGCAGGAAATGGTGCTTTACTACAGCAAATGCTCACCAACATTTGGTACGCTACAACTATCATCACAAAACACTGCTATAAGTATCTTTTCTGACTAAACATGTAAATGATATAATACAAACAATACAGCTGATGGGATGAATGGTTTCAATGTAGGCTTCACTTGTTGCATGCATAATCTCAGATGCAAATATCCAGGTTGTTCAAATTCTCACCAGCTCCTCGTGAGCACCTCCAACAGATAAGAAGAGCTACAAAAAACGTGGGAAAGAAGATGAAGATTCTTTAAACGCAAGCCTCAAAACTTTGCAGATATTCACAAATTATGTTTAAAATTAAACACATATCACAAAGCTTTAGTGGATTTATTACAATAAAGAAATGTCAAAATTCAAAAGCTTTCATTTTCTCATTACATACGCCACTTACTGAGCCAAATTTTACATATTATTATACTTAAAAAAAAAGTGAGGTACAATCCATGCTTGAAAGACAATGCAATCAATAAACTGTAGTATTTTGAAGTCTTCTGGCACTTAGATTACACAATCTGGTCACTAGTCGGGCAGATTTGTACTAAAAAACTCACTTCGAATCACTAGTTCCTGTCAGTAATTTTTATTTATTTGTTAGGGCTCCACGTTGAGTCATCCCTAATTTTCAACTGACAAACTATAGAGACGTCAGCTAGTCAACAACACCCTTCTCCAACTCTTAGTTTACTCTCATCTGACCAACTGGTGGGAGTTCACCATTCTCACAGGGCAACCATCAACCCAAAGAGTAGAAAGAGTTTTTGTGGCACCGGGGTGCGAAAAATGAGCCCTAACATTCACAGTTCAAGCATATTATCCAATAGAAAATCCTAAGCCCATCAGTAATTCTAGGTTTAATACTGGTTAACACTACTTACTCTACTATAAAAGTAAATATCACGTTTGTATGCATCTGAAATATTATTTAAATAGTTGTTTGGCTGAAGAGCTGTCTATTATAAAAAGTTCAATCATATCCTTTCTAATAAAGTTACATTTTTAATATCTTAATGCTCAAAGTGTCTCTATTATACCAATTTCTTGTGCTTGTATATAACTAGGTGCTAAAATATAACAAAACAAATATTTTAAAACTGTAATTATATTGTTGTGGATAAAACAAATAATGCTTTACATTGTTAGCTGGTGAAATTTTAATTCATTGAAGTTAATTTCTTACTAAAATTTAAAAATATAAAACAAACAAAGAGGGCATTTCAAGGAATAAACCATGTAAAGAATCTTACATATACAGAATTAGAACACCTGACCCTAACCTCCCCCTCCCATACCAATAACATTTACAAGAAGTCACAAGAGAATTCTGTCCCAAGTTGTGTGTAATAACGACCAAATAAACACATACAAGATTCCCGTGTCCAATAAAATGGGCATCTTAGCCATGAATTCTTTAATGTAGGATAGCAAAGGGAAAACATCAAATGGCCATTTTGTACACGAGGTTGATTTTTCTCACCCTGTCATATTTCATAGCTGAGGTAATCTTTCAGCTTCTGAGGCAATGGAAGAGAGAAGACCGCAGAGAAAGGGATTCTTTGCAATATTGTATGTCGACAAACACTCTGAAGTGAGGCCACTGAAAAAGAAGCGAACAGTTACTTTCTATTCTATAACTAATATCTTACCATTTGTTTCACAAAAACACTACCATTGGAATAGAAACTTTGGGGTTGGTTTCTTTATTTTAAAGATAAAAACCCAATCTACAAGATAGCTTGGTTTATGCAATGTAAGTTGACATTATTCAAGTACTTTAGAACATTCAGTCACAAATAAATGTTTATGATTTTTTGTTTCCCATATAAAAAAAAAAATACACACCATGTATAAAGGTTTGTCAGTATTTAATGGTTTGGCTAAATGAGTAGTGGTTACTTGTAATTACAATGATTAAGGCAGTCAGTATTTATTGATCGGGCAACACGAGTGGTGGCTCGTGCTAAATACAGTAGTGAAGACAGTTAGTAGTTTGATAACCACACAGTCACACACACACACACACATGAAATCACAAATGGGCTGTAGTATGAAGTTCCACAATCCAAGTGTTTGCCTGTCTAACTGGTATAAAGTCATAATATTTTAAGGTCTTCGATGTTGATATTAAATACTTTATATGATAAGTTTCAAATTCCAAGTGTTTGCCTGTCTAATTGGTACTAATTTATTATTATTGCTATTTAACAATTGCTATTTATTTAGATAAACATACTACTAGTATTAAAACATGATACTGAAAAAGTTCTCTAAATCGAAGGCTTCGGTGAACTAAAGATTTGCACATCACTCATAACTTGGTAATATTGATTTATTGCTTCTTTCAGTCACGCTACAATGTCCCGAGGGAAATAAATTCCAGTCACAATCACATAGTTTAGATGGCACTGTTCATTAATGTATTGCTCATGCAACTTTACAATATAAATAGTGCCTCAACCACTGCCGTGTCTGTTGTCAGCTCTGGATACAGCAGATATAGTGTGACCGACATATTGTTATACATTTTCTTTATTTTCACTCTTAAGTTCTTAGACTTAGCTGTTCATTCAGGGCAGGATTTTCTTTACTCCCCCCCTCCAACTTGAAGCAGTAAGTGTGTATGTGTAATAAGCATTATAGAGATCATAAAATAATTTAAAAAATTGTACTGAAATTTTTAGCATGAGTTTGTCAGGCTATAATTAAAACAATATATTTTTAAGCTTCTTAGAAATAAGTATGTGCAAAAAAGTTTCAAAAAACAAATTTCAAAAAGTAACACTACTTACAAGGCTTAGCAGAAATGCTACAGCCTTTAATGTCTAGAGAGATTCAATAAAGACTATTATTCGCTTAATAAAATATTTTACCAAACATTCACCAATAATCCTATCAATGTTGTCTAGGTACTTCTAACAAGTTATTTTTATATTTTCATGCATTTCATAATTTTGTGAAGTAAACATTTCCACAAAACACATCTCACCTTTATTTAGGTGGTCCCCATATAACTGTACTATTCGCACCTGTTTAGTTGTTCCATATACATCAACAACTGCATATAATGCCCCCTCCTGGTAAGGAATGTCAACAGAATAAGCTCCCTGATCTTCTCCGTTAAAGATGAAGTGCATCTGTGCTGCATTTCCTTGAACAACATACATGACACCAACACGGCTCCCAACGTCTGTAGGAAGGATTCCTGCTCTGAATGTAAACACGTTAGGAGCCGTGAGTCGAAGTAAATTAAAACAGTTACACTTTTTGCTAACAATTTACAAGAAATCTGTACTACAATTATAACGGTAAACAGTCTTCACGTTAGGAGCCGTGAGTCGAAGTAAATTAAAACAGTTAAACTTTTTACTAACAATATACAAGAAATCTGTACTACAATTATAACGGTAAACAGTCTTCACGTTAGGAGCCGTGAGTCGAAGTAAATTAAAACAGTTAACACTTTTTACAAACAATTTACAAAAAATCTGTACTACAATTATAGCGGTAAACAGTCTTCACGTTAGGAGCCGTGAGTCGAAGTAAATTAAAACAGTTAACACTTTTTAC